CGCCAACGTCATCACCAGCCGCCTCCGGAAAATCGGCCCAGTCACGACTAAATTCATGATGGATGCCACTCCAACGCGTTCCTTCGGGGTAGGCGGGGACGAGCACGTCCTGAGATGACGGCTGTACATAGGGAATGCGCGGTTCCAGCGAAGCGGGGGCGGAATAGTGTAAGGACGCAAAAACACGGTGTAGACTCCTCAGTCCGCCACGACCCACGGCCAAGTTCAGGTTCTGCAAGTACCACCTGCCCTGATCGGAGTTCTCCGGGGTGCACAAGAAAGCCGCCCCCGAGCCAACGATTCCGCCCTGATGACGAGTAAGAATACCAAAGACATCCTCCCAACGCCGTCCAAAGAAGGTCTTCAACATTTTTTCGAAGCGGCGGGCAATATAACTCTGAACTTGAGTTCGAAGGATGGAGTTGGCCCCTGCCAGCAAGACGAGATCCAAAAAAGAGAGATTGCGAAAGATCATCTCCACAAGTTCAGGAGGAATGCCATCGCCAACGAGAGGAGGTCGTCCTAAAATTCCTGGTAACGCGTTTTGTAACCCGCGTCCCTCCTCGAGAAGGGTGGTTGGGGGAGATGGGGAAGGAGTTTCCGTTAGATCTTCAGGGTCGGAAGATGACGGGGGTTGAGAAGCGCTGCGCCGTGTAGGCACTACAGGAAAGTAAGCAAATGTTTTTCACTATCGAATCCATGAGGAAACGAAAGCTTACTGACCCTCATTTACAGGAGGCGTCGGCGAAAGGCGCGCATCCACAACAGGCACAGCCCGTTTACGACCATCCACGTTTACATAGGTGTAAAGGTGGTCGTCCAAGCCAGGCACAAAAAAAACATCTCCCGTGTCCACGCGTTGTGTCCCATCTACCTCTTCTACAGACTGCACAGAGAGCGAAGGAGAGGGTGGGTGAACAACAGTTTGTGATGATGGGAGTACATAAATGTCAGGCGAGTAATCTAGTCTAGTAGTGGAATTGGGTTCGCCTAACGAAGAAGAAAACAACAAGAAATCAACGACCACAACACAGTGAAATCCGAGGTAAGCCCACCTTCGATGAAATTCGAACTTTCGCCGGTAAGAGTCGTTTGTTCACTTGGTGGCGTTTCTGATGAGTTGCGTTCATCAGCGAGAGTCCTCTCAACGTTTGGTGCACCAAAGGAGTCGGCAACGACCGTCCCAGCAGAGGGAAGCAAGAAAGGTGAGGCGTGAGGCGAATTGTCCATGTCTCGTGAGTCAATGCACTCAGGGTACAGTATAGCACGGTGCTCAAGGAAGAGGAAGGGGGCGGGGAGATTCAGGAAGAAGACGAGAGAGGCAGGACGATGTTATAAACGAGTTGCGCACCTTTTTTGCGACGCCGCCAGCCTTAGACGCAACAATGCCTCCACCGAGTCCCTTATTCTGGTCCCCATTTACCCGATCATTCGCGCCAAATAACTTTCCAAAAGCCGGTCCCACGTCCATCTCGGGCAGGCGTGCATTAACATGTTCGTGCTTCTTTGCGTTTCGTTGGTCGGAACCTGCGTATTCGCCGCCGGTTTGCTCTTGGGTAGCCTTGGGACGCTTCGACGCCGGTCTTTTTTTGACCAATCTCTTTCGGGGAGTTCCTCCGAACAGGCGAATAAAAAACGTGTGCAATCCTCTCAACATACGCGATTCACTTGGTGTTGGATAGAGATTCGATGTTAGGATTGAGAGAAGGGTCTGGAAACAAACGAGCGCGATAGGCGCCCAACCGGGCAGAGCGAAGGCCATCAATAAATGGCTTAGTAATCGTGACTACAAGCGTGTGCTACACTCGATGTATTCCGCCTTTGAAAGGACAACGTCGGTTCAAACACAGACCAGTGAGTTGCCATTCGATGTCTACATCGAGTGCCAACACGAGGTCGTTCTTGTCCTCGGAGATTCTGATAACGCAGAACCCTTTGAAGCCTGTCCAACTTCGCACCAAACGGCTACACTCCAGTCCACAAGGTCCGGTGAAGCGATAAGACCCGGAGAGGAGTTTAATCCAAGGAAAGAGCGGGCCTACGTTGTAAGAAACGTAGTTTAAATACCACGCCCATGAGTTAGGATGGGCCCAAGAGGGGAGTGCGACGCGGCGGTTCGTGAGACGAGGATAAGGCGAGACTAAGTTGCGGCCCGTGAAGAAGTTCATTTGGGAGGTGAATCTTGCTGCAAAGATGGCGGGAACCACGGTCCGCGAGCTGGACACCAAAAGGCGCACCATGAAGTACTATAGAATTGTCATTAGAGCCTTCGCCGTACATGCCAATACCACAGAGCACTGGCAACTTAAAACGCACATGGGCTGCATGAGTGAATCCCAAACATTCGATTACTTTGCAGTCGTATTCGGAAGTAGGAGCAGGGTGGATGTACCTACTTGTCTATATCAGTTCCTTGTGTTGGTTAGCAGTCTGAGGAAAGGATAACTATACATTTGAAAACCCAACTCAATGGCAAAAGAACGATTTCCATTCGCCGACCGCAGCTTTGGTGCAAACTAGATCCAAACAATTGATATTCGCTTCATGGTCCTCCAAAGCCGAGAAAGTAACTAGAGCGAGCGGCACGGCCCCAACAACGGCGGATTGTGTCGATTGGAGTTTATGCATGAACTGGGAGACAATAGTTCGAGTGTCCTGAGATTGCTGAGTAAAGTGGCCGGAGAAAAAAGGCGCCAAGCGAGTAAAGATTCTGTCCTTCATCACCGAGCGAGAGACAGCAGCTAGATGTCGATTTGTCTGCCTCAGAGCATGGAAAGTAGCCCAAGGACTATGCTCAAGACAAATTCGAGCTATGGTTGGCGTGTGGAACAATGATTCGGAAGGGGTTACAGAAGACATCGGAGAGACAGTACTAAGTACAAACAACCACCGCCTTTATATGACGTTCAACTGACCATAAGGTCACGACCCACTAACCGTTCCCGTACAAGCCTGCAAATAAACATAAGAGCGAAACCGGGAACCTTCCACGCAAAAAGCACTTACAGCTTGACGATGGCCTTGGCCGTGTAAACATCTGCCCGAGTTATATGGCCCACACCGTCATCCAATCCGCCTAACGCTCGATTGCGGAGGGAGCGAACGACCAATATATTACCAATCCACGGAACAGGGTAAGAGGGCAGCAGAGTTTGAACATAGGCGTTAGCAGGCTGCTCGGTCTTCTTGGTGATGAGCGGTTCTCCTGGTTGAGGAAGCGTGAATACTGTGTACGCCGTAATCAAGCGGGTCGGGATCGTCTAGAGGCCAATGCCGTACAATAGCCATGGATGCCGAAAGGTCTACCACCGCAGCGTTGCGTTCAGAGGGTCGAGGAATCCACCGAAGCACGTCCAGATCGCGAGGGGACGAAGCTACGGCGAGTTGCGCTTTGATAGGGACCCGTACAATGACTGGTTTGTGCATCCCAGTTGGAAAGAGCAATCCAAGGTAACTGCGAGTGCCTTCGGTAGGCTACAACGAGTTAACAAGGCAAACGAGATGGAAAGATTGCCTTACCAAGCCAACGAGGTCCATTTCGAGATTGACTTTCTCGATAACATCCAACGTGAAAAGAGGAATCAGATGAGTATTTCCGGTGGCCATTAACACGGAGTGGGTAAGCTCGACAGCTAACCGAAGTTTTGGAAGCCTTTATAAAAGCGTCTACGCCGGTGAATAATAGCACAACGATGACGAAAGGAAGGTAAGTAAGTCACTCCGTACGTGACAGAAGAAATTGATGTCACATCGCTCCTTCTCTCAGACTTTGAAAGCCGTTTGCCTCTTACATCGCGTTCTCCGCAAGAGGAATTGAGGTGCATTCCACTTAAAGATAACAGGCAATACAGATACCGCGCTACGAGACGACGCCGTGTAAAGCTCAGTCACCCAACTCAACGGTAGCTTTCTTTCATTGCAATCCTGTCGTCAACGGTCTGAACTGCAAGACAAAGATTAGTCAAGACTCAAATCAGGTAACTGGAATAATAAGAGTATGGTACCTTGGCCATATTTCTGCGAAGACGAGGAACTAGAAGCTTCACACTCCAAACTTCAATGACATAAACCTTAGATAGTCAGCGACTGACACCTCCAACATCGTCTAGAACTCACCAGCTCACAAGTATCAACAGAGGGTGCGCCAGGAAATTTTTCTTGTCGCCGAAGTCCGCACTCTGCGACGATGGTGTCGCCGATCGCTAACGGGAGTTGTGTTTGGTCAGCAGTATCATCGAAGGTGGTGTATGACCAATCGTTAAGGGGCAAATAAATCTTGGGTAATCCACCCTGAGCTGGCGTCCAAAGGTCAATATTCCCACCCCTCATCCAAGACACGAAAGTGAACGTTTGGGGAGACTGAGCGTGCGGCGTCTAAGCTTTCTACGGTGATGTCAACTCCCAAAAAAAAACTCACCCAATTGCCAGACGCAGTACGGACTCTATCTTGAGTTACCACATCACGAAGAGTAAACGCCTGCGCATCCCAGACTGATTTGAAAACTTCTCTGTCCCAATTTGCAGACCGCCAATCGGGCTCGCTCAACGTCATCCGGAAAGGTTGAGTCCGAGACGCCACGTCGGGGAGGTTTGATATTTGACCTAGGACAAGCGGGCGATAGGGCTCTAGAGCACCGTCGCTCATGCCGATAGAAAGGAAATTGCCAGTCGAGTCGTCGAATTCGCGGGGAGGGATAAAATGAAATCGATAGCGCGCATTTCCCAAGAAATTCGTCCCCTGCATATGCAACGCCCAGATGACATGGGCCGGTGATACTGCAGTGTCCGGGGTAAACCGCTGATGGCCAGGATTACGGAGAGACCGCTCCTCTTCAAGCATCGCTTTCCGCAGTAGAGCGAGGGGGTCGAAATCGGCCATACTTTACACAATTTCCACTCCCTTCGGTGTCGTATACTTATAAACAAAGTCGGCTTCCCGTACCTGTCACTTCCTTCTACTGACATAGACCAGAAGTACTTTCATTTCTTTCCTACAACCAATGGAGGAGGCTTTCCAGTCATACACACTCCCAGAGGCGTTCCGATTGTTGGATCGATTTTGTAAAGTGCCGGGAAAAGCGAAGCTGTCGTGGAAGAAGCTCCTCGCTTGGCTTTCGACGCTAGAAGAACGTCTACAACACACCATCCGGGAGACTGCAACAGCGACCCCCGGTTCAAAGCGGAAGAGAAAACTACCCAGCCATCCCACCTCGCCGCCAAGCAAGCGCATACGAACGGAAACTAACCGCGGCAACAAAAGATCTGCGACAGGGCATACGACCGCAAGCTCAACTGTCCAGAGTACAGTTTCCGCTGACTTCCTCCGTGTACCCGATGAACAAATCGTAGAGAGTTGTATCTCCAAGTAAGTGATTCCTAGGAAACAGTAATATTAATCGTTTGCCTAAAGGGCATGACAGGTTCATAGACCTCACGGGGAACGCCGCTCTGTCGAAGAAGACTTGTATCGTTTGCGCGCGAAGATTGTTCGTCGCCAAGATCGAAACAATAGACTTCAACTCCATCCCAAACCGACACGTTCTGCAACCCACGCACTCGCACCCACACCAAAGGACAGTGGAGGGTCTTCTATTCCACGACACTGTAAACCCCGAGGGCCTTAATGATGTTTGCTCTACTTGCTTAATCGCTCTCAGACGGTGTTCAAGACCAAAGCTCGCCGTCGCAAACAACATGTGGATCGGCAATGTTCCTTTCCAATTGGAAATTCTAACGTTGCCTGAACAGCTGCTCATTGCTTTATACTTCCCCGCGGCGTACATTATGAAAGTGTACCCAGCGAAGATCCGATACCGCGCCAGTGCCTCGAAAACGGATGGGATGGAGCCTATCGCAATCAATGAGAAGCTGCGTGGAAACGTTTCCACGTTTCGGCTACCAACCGCGCAAATCGTGAATATGGCAGCAGGCCAGATTGTCCCTCGGCCTTCGCTTATCCTCGCATCTCTTATCGGGGTTACATTTGTAGGGGTGGACCGGAAAGCCCTTGCACTACCGTCGCTCAAAACAATGTTCCGTGTGCGACGCCACAGAGTTTGGGAGGCCCTTCTCTGGCTGAAACAGAACAACTCCATCTACCGAGACGTTACCATCGACTCTAGCGCTATCGAGCGATTGCCGGAAGATGACATTCCACTCGAAATTACAGAGAACGTCCGTTACTCCAATGATGTCGATGCGGTTAGGCGAGAGCACGCCGGATACGCACCTTTAGAGTCCGAACTTGAAGATCCTGAACAGGAAGCCTCGGTAGAATGGCAGCGCGAAACTTTTCAGACAGCGCACGACGAAATATGCGATCCACCCGTAGGATATCAGCCTGAACCGAGACCCGGCGGTTTGTCGTCCAACGGCTCTCATTTAAAACTAACTAATATGCTGTTATTTCGCAGACAAAGTGCAATCAGCTTTGCTGTCCGAGTACTCTAGCAGAGAAACGGCTGCACCCGCTGCAGTACAACATGCAACCATGGAAGGTGAGAGCTTACGCTCAACTATGCGACACTTTTACCTGTCCTTGTTCATTATTACCTAGATCCAGCGGTCTTTCCCTTGCACGTGCATGGAGTAATAGATGTGGGGGGGGATAACATACCTGAAAGCACCGTGTTCGCACACGCCGTGAACAATCTAGTTTCTAACCCTTTCGCGCAAGATTATGCCGTTCGCAAGGGTAGTGCTTTCATCAACGAGTACGGGCGTCGTGATGAAAATGGTGAGCGTTATGACGGAGGTCCTTCCAATCCGAATCATTTACTCGGCGCTTTCCCCACTTTGTTCCCCTACGGACTCGGTGGTCTTGAAGTAGATCGGGAAGACACCGTCTCATACGAAGACCACGTACGATGGGCTCTACAACATGACTCGGGACGTTTCCGTCGACACACACATTTCATATTTCTCGTTTTTGGAGTCCTTTGGAAGCGCCAGGTCTGTCGGTCAGCTTCCATCCAAATCGACCGCAGCAATTTTTTGGCCTTTCAAAGCTCCCTATCCCAATTGAGACCAAAAGATCTATTGAAAGCGGCCGAAGAAGAGGAGCATAAAGTTCAAATTTCTAATCCTCTGATCCGACTTCTACGAAAACATCTTACTGCAGTGCGCGCTAGAGTTCAGGGTACGGATGAGAACCGAGTTGCAATTCGAGCACAAATCTGGGGGATGACACTTAAATTCAACCCACCTTCAATATGGATGACGATAAATCTATCCGACACGGGCGACCCGATAGCTCAGGTATTAGCTGGGCAAGAAATAAACTTAGACGATTTTGTGGCTAGGTCTGGACCTAATGCGACTACTCGTGATGGTATCATCGGCGCAGACCCATTCGCAGCCGCGGAATACTTCCACCTCGTCATACGCCTGCTATTGAGAGAAATGTTGGGAATCAAAGTGGGCGAGAGAGGAGCGATTACCCGTAATCCTGGTGTCTTAGGGGAAGTGAACGCTTACATCGGGACGGTTGAAGCGCAAGGGCGAGGCTCTCTACATTTACATTTACTTCTTTGGCTTCACGGGGCTCCCACAGCGACGAAAATGCAAGAAGCGCTGCAATCAGATGAGTTTCGCTCGCGGGTGAAACTTTTTATCAAACACAACATACGGGCGGACGTTCCTGGAGGTCCCTTCCCACCCCAAATGCGCAAACGATTAACCCGCAGCGTCGCTTTCTCTCGACCTATCGACCCCAGGAAGAACTGACTACAAAGAAGCCGCAGCAAAAGCAGAAAAATTGAACGCGTCGGTTTTGCAAAGCCATGAGTGTACCATCTACTACTGTCTCAAAAACAAGTCAGGCAAGCTGGTATGCAAACGTGGACACCCTTGGCCTACTTACGACGACGACTGGGTTGACCGTGACGGAAACTGGGGGCCGAAACACTCCAATTGCTCTCTTAACCCTTGGAATCCACCGATATTCCACACAACCAGGTCAAATATGGACATCAAGCTCCTCACCAACTCATGGGAAACAAAAGATATTGCATTTTACATAACACTATATATCGCGAAAAAACAAGTGCAAGCTGCAAATGCGTCGGCGATCTTAGCTAAAAGTCACACCTTTCTAGGAAGTTCTACTAGTACTAGTAATCTCCCTCTTCACAAGCTCAACCAAAAATTATTAGAACAGTGCGCAAACACCCTTAGCCGACAATACGAGCTAAGCGGACCGGAGGTGGTGAGCTACTTAATGGGCTGGGGTGACAGATATATATCGCATACATTTATTAAAATATACTGGGATCCTGTCGTCACTACTCTGCGAACGGCGTTTCCGCATATAGCTCAAATGTAGGTCACGTGTCTCACTCTTGACTTCAACTACTCTCACACAACGGTAGAGCGTCAACGGACGAGGTAGACCGCACGGACCGCGCGCCCGATGAGCCGGCAGTGAGTCAGCAGACCACGCCCCATTCCTCTCTCATACTCTCCTTATTTCGTCAGACCACAATCGTTTTAGTGGATGGACAATTTACAGTCGAGGATCAACTTAGCCAATACACAGACCGAGGCTACGCTTTGGAGAACATGAACATGTACGATTATTTTCTCTACACCTACCACGGACGCACGAGCGACACCGGGCGAAGACGAGGAAGAAGAAGCAAGCCCAAAAAAAGGACCGAACAGAGGGGGGCGCCCTAAGAAAGAACGCATTCCGTATACTCCTGAAAGCAAGCGCAAAGGTGCGCGAGTAGTTCGAGGAGCTAACTACGAAACAGCTCTCCACATTATCGGTAAATGGATCCCGAGTCGGGAATCCTCCAATCAGGAGGACTATGCAGCACAAATTTTAGTTCTGCTTAAGCCTTGGCGCAACCTGAAAGACTTAGTCGGCTTCTTTCCTTCGCTAGAAGTGGCGCTCACGAATTTTTTGAGTGAATGCAATGACGAAATAACTCGTATCACTGAAAACATCGAATATTTTCATCAATGCAGCCAATCCGCCAAACGCAGAAAGAAAGAAACGCACGAAGGAAACGAGGAGGAAGGGAACGACCCCCGCAATGTAGATGCGTCCTTTTCGCTCGAGGGCGAGCTCAATAATCCGGAAACTTATCTTGCAATGTTAACCGAAGCGGACGTCCAACGGGCGAGGGAGACCAAATTCTCAGCTGCTGAAAAGGCATATGGCGCAAAAGCTATGTCAATCGCTGCCTCAAACGGGATATTCCAATCACCTTTTCCATCGGACGCGACAGTTTTACAGCCCATCGAGCGAGTAGCTACATTGGAAGAGATGGTAAAATTCAAGGATTGGGAGCAGAAAGTTGGGGCTATCACTCGCAACCCTCTCTTCGTCAACAACCTTAGCGACGTCAATTTAGTCCGTCCAGACCTAGCTGGTGTCTCGATGGCAGAAGAGGACATGCGCTACGACGTCGAACCATCGAACGGAGACATCTCGATGCTAGTTAACGATGACAACCGGTTGCGAACCTCCGAGCAGCAAGTCGCAATTGACATCCTTAACGCCGAACAACGTCGCGCACACGACATCGTCGAGACACATCTGCGTAAACACCTTAACGGAGAAGACCAAGAACAGCTTCTTATGATCGTACAAGGCGAAGGAGGGACAGGGAAAACCGTCCTACTCAACGCCATAAGTCACACTTTCGATTTTCTTAACTCTACGCGGCTCTTGGCGAAAACAGGTACGACTGGAATAGCTGCAAGTTTAGTGAAGGGTTGTACAATCCACCAATGGGCGGGCATCCCGATAAGTTTCTCCGAAAAAGATAACTGGCTACAAAGTGAGATAAGCTTAGCTCTGACTAAAGTTTATGTCACTAACCTGCGGTCCGTTTCAGAAGCTGGAAAGGGTATCCAAGAGCGAAGGAAACGCAACATTTTACCCGTTCAATATCTAACGATTGATGAATATTCGATGATGATGAAGAAAACGTTAGCGCAACTATCCCAAATAATCAGCTTCGTGAAAGCGACTCAAGGCCACGCTCCTCCGTCGAAAGCTTTCGGAAATATCAATGTTATACTCTTCGGCGACCCACACCAATTCCCACCAGTCGGCAACCCCAAAGGGGCACTGTACAACTCACAAACGACAGCTTCACTTCTGGCGCAGTTGGGTCTAGCGTTTTATCGACAATTCGATGTGGTAATTACGCTTACTGAACAAAATCGAGTCCGCGACCCCGTTTGGAACGACCTTTTGAAACGACTCAGACATGGCTCATGCACTGAAGATGACATAAAATTGCTACGTTCTCTGTTACTACACAACAACCCGCGACTGGATTGGAGTCATACTCCGTGGAGAGATGCTGTACTAGTGACGCCTCGCCACTCAGTACGAACGATGTGGAACAAAGCCGCTCTCACAAGGCACCTAACGCACACCGGAAATCGAGTATATGTCTCCACCGCTGAAGACGTCGTCGTAAAACCCCCCCGACTATTGACGATCGAAGAACGGGCAATCGTGGCGGGAAAGGGTGACAAAAAAACGAGAAAGTTGGAAGAAACAGTGGAGATTTCCATTGGAATGCGAGCGATGGTATTGTGGAATATCTCAACCGAGGCAGACCTGGCCAACGGAACCCGAGGCACCATCGTGGATCTAAAGCTAGACCCCCGTGAACCGACGACGGTGACCATAGACAAGGACGGTCGCATCGTTTTAAGCTACCCGCCGGCAGTGGTTTTAATTAACATTGACCACTCCTCACACCCTCCGTTCGAAAACCTAGAAGAAGGAGTACTCCCCATCTTTCCCCTTCCAACATCTTTCGGGGTAGAAACTAAAACAAACGGAGCGGTAACTGTTAAGCGCAAGCAATATGCACTGACCCCCGCATACGCGTTTACTGATTATAAGTCGCAAGGACAGACTATCCCAATTGTCATCGTCGACCTAGAACACCCTCCCTTTGGAAAACTTACTCCTTTTAACGCATATGTAGCACTCTCCCGAAGTCACGGTCGTAGCACCATCCGACTTCTAAGAGGATTTGATCCCAAAATATTTACAACTCACCCTTCGGAGAGTTTACGAGAGGAAGATAGTCGATTGCAGTTGCTTACGATAGAGACGCAGCGTAGATTTCCTTTAAGTATCAAGTAACCGAGAGTTCTCGATACGGTTGACCAAATATTTATTCGGCCACTTCGGTAACTTAAAATAAAAGTAGCCGTGATCACGTGGATCGCACAGCACTTTTTTTTTTTCCTTCGCAACTCCGACAACGAAAGCCAACCCACCACTTCTTTCCACCACGTACAAAAAGGGACATGAACTTCAGAACGACAGGACACTACCACCCACTCTCGTCTTACCCATTTCGATCCCCATGCCCATCGCGACACTCGTCTCTACTTGGACCAAGGACTGCGTTTTTTGCGGAGCCTCGCAATCCAAGAAATGCTGCTCTCGCTGTCGTTCAAGTCGTTACTGCGACACCGAATGTCAAAGAAATGACTGGCCTGCCCTTAAGGCTGCGTGCGCGCAACACGCCTCGAGTCTGGCATCGATCAGCGACCCGGTCGTATCCGAAGCGATAGAGACTTTTTCCAAATTTGTCGACACCCTGGCGCAAATCCCTTAGCCAGTGGGGATTGTTCTGCGCAGACCTTTCTAACCGTGACGAAAGCCTCTTGAAATGCTCCTTGTGCGTCCGTCCATACGCTTATAGCAACTAACTCATTTATTAGTTTCGCTGTCGTTGTAGACGTAATTCCGCCAAAGAAAGGGGAAGTGCACGACACTGTATTCAAGGTAATCTGGATATATCAGTCAGGCTTCGTCTAATACTTTGTCTAGGTCAAGGAAGCTGGCATGCGGCAAAACGCCGAGTTCGAGAGCTTGTTACCACGCCGTCTACTAGAGGACACACAAACACCCGACAAGGACGAGTTCATCAAGCAATTTAAAGACCTACCCAACAACTCTAACACTTTGCGATTGGTGATCACTTCGGGTGTGGTGTGCACAATGTACAGCGCCACACTTCAGTCTATTTTCCCCCCAGAACTCATAGGTTGGATCAAAAACGCGTTTGCATCTAACTTTTTCCATACGGTCTTCGACATGGAATTCGCTCAATCCGTAGCGGAAGGAAAAGGTATGGACCTTAGCACTGTAAAGGCTATATCTAACGACTCCAAACACCACAGTCAAAGCATCCCTCCACCGCGCGATAGAGCTCTACGTGTATATTACTACGGGCCATGTCGTCACCCTGCCCGACGAGAAGTAGACACCGTAGGAGCATGTAATAAACTTTTTTTTAGACAACGTGTGACAGTGTAGATCGCATCATTCCTACACCATCACTATCTTTCGCTCAACCTGAGGGGGAAAAGTATTACGCTCGTTGCCTGGCTAATGGAAGGTGGCCGCCCGTCACACGCCTGCCACGAGAGCAGGTGTGGGCCGAGCAGCGGTAGGGTAACCCCGCTAAAAGGCACATTGTCTCTCCACACAACTTCCCCCGACCTGCGAAACAACGGCGCATAACTAAACCTTATGCATCCCGCCGTCGTTGCTCCACTAGTCTACAACGATTACTGGGGAAAAGCTAGGCAAAGATACTGTTGCGTGGAAGCCGGGCAACTGGTACTGTGCATAGAAGACGAAATCTGGTTTCTGACGGGCCAAGACGACCTTTCTTCTTACGCCCATTCTTCCTCTACCAACCACTATAGCGTTGAACTGGAATGCGGAACACTACACCGTCTCGAGTTAACCTCGGACCGACAGCTCACTATCCTAGAAAAACCATACAATCCTACTCACGCGGAACTTCGCCTATGGGAAGTCCTCGACATGCAGTGCGAATACGACGTCCCTTTGCCAGAGGAAACGACAGCACTCGTAGCGGGCAACAGGGTAACATTATATCATATCACCGAGGAACTCGGACGTCGACGACGAGGTGGCTTCATTGTCGCGGCAGACAACGAAGGGTTATGTCGCATCCGCATGAGCATGCATACTATCCCATTAGACGCAAATTCGCCAACACTCATCTCTGACATCACCCGACCGGCGGACGACAGAGCAGACGAGACGACAATAGATCGGACTCTGCTGAAGCCACACTTTCTAACCGGGCCACCCCTTCTCCACGTAGGGGATCGGGTCATTATTATCTGGGGTCGAAACGAAGGATATATAGGCCAAATCGAAAAGCTGCAAGCAGGGGCTAAAAGCAGCGCTCTCCTCATACGAACAGGTGAAACAATTCTATCGGAAGTATCCCTAAACCAAGTCGCCAAACTTTTCCTTCCGGGCGACCCGGTATCCATTATATACGGCCACTACGAGGGACAGCGCGGCGTAGTCGCAGCAACCTTTGCACTCACCCAACGGCCGATGAAACGCATTTATTCCCCGCCCGGCGGCATCCGTGTTCTCGTCGTAAGGGTTTAGGATTATCTGGCATTGTCTCTCTAATAATCCGCACAGCATCATTTACAAGTTATGGTACATAACCCGCCCTGACCTCAACTACATGTTTACTCTCTGTCACCTACGTTCCACAGATAGCTGTGCCTACCCAATACGTGGAGTTTGGTGTTAAAGTACAAACAGAAAGTAACCCACAGCTCAACGTCGTCAAAAATGCTCCTCAAATCTTCTCCCCTCCGGGCAAAGAAGTGAAAACTATGCAGAAAACAAACATCTTGGTTGTATTCCTTCGAGCAACAACGCCGCCTACTAACTTTTTGAAGAATCATGAAGTAGATTTATGACGTACTCTGTTTACCTCTGTTTACAATCATTATTTACACTTGTTTACTCAACTAGTTTCACACATCTAGGACCTTACTGAAGCAAGGTAACAACTCACCAAACCCACTCAGTTCGAATAAAATGTAATTGTGGGCTGATCATCGTTGCAGTTACCACTGGCACTACCAAAAAGATGCCCATGGCGCACGTGACCCTGAACCCAACTACACCATGACGCTTTCACGCATGATGGGCCCCTGACATTACATCGATTCCCGCCTTTCTGCCGTCCGAGTTGCCCACAACACAGGTTTCGGAGGTTTCTTGTCTCTCCCGCGTGCCCCGTACGTCAAGCCAATCTGAAACGACCAAGTCAGGGCAGCCAGCTGGGAGCCCTGGTGTAACACGGAAAGTCGTGAGCCCCTCAAGTCCCCAGAACAACGCTCACGAAGCAACTTGCAGCAGCGAAATGGCCGGGGACGAGCACAATATGCTGGGAAGACTGAATACCGGGTTTCTCAGAGTGAGAACGGAGGCTTAAGTATTTCGAGGTCGGTGTCTGGTTGGCGACTTGCCGTCGATGCGCTCGTCAGTGTTGGCCTATTTGCATATGATCGCGATTAAAGGTCAATATGATAACAAAGTACGCATATATAAATGCTAATACCGCAAGAACTTCACCCTCACTCAACAATGTCTGGACCTCTTCCTATCGTTACTTATCTCCTCGGCGGCTGGGTGCGTGGTTCTTCTCGAGCCTTCACAATAGCTGACTGCTATTACTCAGGACTTGAGTGCCTGTGCCGATCTTTTACTTCAAGGCGTTATCTTTGCCCAAACAGCGCACTACTTCGCGCTCTATCATTCCGATTTGCTTGCCCTTCGGCTGTTCGTATTCGGTCTCTTGCTTCTTACCACCCTCAAGTCGATGCAAACGATGTGCGTACTACTAGTCGTCGCCGTAACCGATATGAACACTCGAACCCAGTGCATTGTTATGGGCTCAGAACGTTACCCACTTCACCGACATCCGTGCCGCGAGCACGCTGTTCATGACTAGTTGGCTCCAGAAAAGCAACTTAGGTATAGGCGTTCTTTATTCGCTGCAGCGCTTGATCAACTGTTCTTAGTATTTGGCGCCTTTATTTCCTTTTACATCCAGATATTCATGTGTCAGCGTCTTTGGGTGGGGCTCTTCCCGCTGCTGCTTCGATGATGCTCTCTAATTCTCCAAGGCCCTCTGCAAAAATGTTTACATTGTTGTGATTTTGATGACCATCTTCACGTTCTCATTAATCGCAGCATTCATGGCCGTACGCGCGTTTTTTGGCGTTGATGCATTGCTTAAAGCTTCATGCTCTCTAGATCAGCTTGACAACCACTGACGGGGCTGTTGTGAGACCCACATGGAGTGTGTTTCTCCAAGCTTCCCATTTGGCCGCTGCTTATTATTCTCGTATGTAGTTGCGTGCCACTTTGGGGTCGTCTTCCTCGGGGACCTCTTGCTGTGCGGCTCAATGGCCTATTCCCTCCTGGTATGTGACCATATATACGAACCAACAACACATTGACCTACTCCGCATAGAAACACTTGAAGCAAGTCCTTCCCAAGACCGCTGGGTTACTGAATTCGATTCTCAAAATTACGATTCAGAGCGCGATGCCCGGCGCGATTTGTGCTATGGTCACCCTCATTTCTTCCCAGATCGGCGACAAATCCAATCCAGCACGACTAGCCACGTTGGTGTCGATGGTTTTCTCTGGTATGCTCCCCAAATTATACGCTATTAGTGCGTTATGGACCTTGAATTCGCGGCGCACCATTCTACTTTCTCACTCAACGGATACAAGCAGCACCGAGTACCAGAGTGGGGGGAGGAGGAGCGGGGTTAGCGGTGGACGCGGTGTCGAGCTCGGGCGTTTCAGCAAGGTACAATCGATTCAAGTTCGCACACAGGTACAGACTACGCGTCACACTGACGACGATGCTTGTGACCACGACTTGAAGCCACCAGGGATTGCAGGGGAAAATAGTGTCTAGTAAAAATGTTGGAAGATGAAATCCAATCCGAATGGCATTGATCCGAGTCGGCGTCAAAATGCTCCCACTTACATCGCGGCGGCAGAAGTATTTGACCCGTATTTCATGCTTTCCCTGGACTTGAGGTGCTGATAACTCTTTTTGGGCGGAACAGTCGTAAGCCGTGTTATCCAACTTGAGTGACTCACGTGACCGTCGACAACACTGTTTTGACCAGCATGATCGAGGTTGCCTATCTTGGTCGAACACTTATCTGGCTTTCTGCATCGGATGCCCAGATATCAGAGGGACAGCTAGGAGGATCTATACCCACAGACGCTCCAAGAAAACAAGTCCACGTCATCTATTTACAGCAGACATCGACCACTACGATGCTGACAAGCTCTCTAATCTACTCAACCTCCCATCGCTGTGCAGCAGCTCCTTTCCTTTTGCTTCCGAGTTGCACACGGATGCTTGACTCCTTCCAAGCATGCTATAGATGAAACAGATTATTCGATCAAGTCAGGGAAACTCACTGGCAGCTCCCTAGTTCAACGCTTGCTCCCGAAAGGTGTTCTGGACCGGGGTAAATTACAGTGTAATCATTGGAGTGGTGAGCTCTTATAAATCCTCCGCCTCACCTCCTCAGACTGAATAGAAAATGACCGGTGAAGTCCTAGATAGAACGGAGGTTTTCTCTTCGTTCTTAGTAAGGTAACGGAGGCTCATTCGACTCGAAAGTCTTCAACGACGTCGGATTTGTCACTCGAGCTATTGCATATCATCCAATCGCAGTTCCTGTCATGGCCAATATGATAATGTTCAACCTCGGTATAAATTCAAGTTGAAGATGCCCTCTCTCTCCATCCCACTCGACGACAATGTCTGGACCTCTCCCTGTCGTTACTTACCTCCTCGGCGCGTGGGTGTGTGGTCAGGCATGCACACTACTCAGCGGGCTAACCTTTCGTTTTGGTTGGCTTAGGACTTATCTATCTGCGGGGATCTTCTACTACAAGGCGTCATCTTCGCCCAAACAGCGCACTATTTTGCGCTCTACGATTCCGACTTGGCTCCCCTTCGGTTGTTTGTTCTTGGTCTCTTGCTACTCACTACGCTCAAGTCGATGCAAATGATGTGCGTATTTCGCAGCTGTCGCTGACCATTGTAATTGGTAGTATAACATAGTGCCGTGCTGTGGGTTCAGAACGTCGTCCACTTTACTGACATTCGTGCGGCGGGCATGATGTACACAACCAACTGGCTCCAGCAAATCAACCTAGGTATCAGAATCCACCTCATTCCATCATTCGTTCAACGTTGTATTCTAGGATTCGGTGCCTTTATCGCATTTTATATTCAACTCTTCATGTGTCAGCGTCTTTGGGTATGGCGTTTTTCTACCCTCACTACGGTCTTCAACTCCTGATCCCATAGGCCCTCTGCAAAAATGTCTACATTCTGCTTGTGTTGCTGGCCATGTTCACGTTTTCCTTGGTCGCAGCATTCGTTGCGGTATGCACCGTCTGTGACCAATTAGGGCTTGCCGCTCATTCTATCCAGGTTGGCTTGACATTCAACGACCAGCCTATCGTGAGATCTACATGGAGTGCGTCTTTGCCGCATTTGGCACTGCTCAATTGAACAACTTTTCTTTCAGTTTCACTCCACTTTGGGATCGTCTTTGGTGGAGATCTCTTGCTTTGCGGTTCAATGGCCTACTATCTTTTGGTGCGTTGCGGTATGAAAGGCGAACACATCATTCTGATGCGGACAAGAAACACTCGAAACAAGTCCTGCCACAAACTGCAGGAATGCTCAATGCGGTTCTCAGAATTACAGTCCAGAGTGCAATGCCTGGCGCGGTCTGTGCCATGATAACCCTCATCAATTCCCAGATCGGTGAACAGTCCAATGCACTTAAGCCGTCGACGATGGTGACGATAATTTCATCCAACTTCCTACCCAAACTCTATGCGCTTAGCGCGATGTGGACTTTGAACTCGCGGCGTGCCATATTGCTTGCCCGCTCGACAGGCCAGAATACGAGCAGTAACGAGGGCCAGAGTGGGGGGAGGAAGACGGGTGTTCCTGCTAGTGGTGGGCATGGGCTTGGGGTTGAGCTCGGAGATTTCGGGAAGGTCAAGCAAATTCAAGTTCGCACCCAGGTGCAAACAACCCACCACATAGACCCCGAGGAAGCAATATCTGTGCGTGAACACGGCCTCAAGTCAACTGAAGAGGATACAGAGGTCGGCTCTACGAAGAGCAGTTTACGTTGACGTCGCAGTTTGATTGTGCCTACGCTGATACCTTGTACGAGTTGTTAATGGATTGGAGAGCTACCACAATACTGAAGAGTCAGATAAAGGTCAATGAATTCTCCATATTGGAACTGCGTAAAAAGCCTCTAGAACATCATATATATACTTCGCGACTCGAAAACCATCGCTTGCAGGGCTATTGTAGTTGGTAAGCCTTGCAGATCCCACCGAAACCTGGGCACTTTCTCGCAGCATGTTCTAGTGTTTCAATGTTTCAATGTTCAACTTGCACATTCGACAGCTGCGTGGGCATGGGAGCGCCAAGCGATGTGTTGACAGCAGGACGGAGGTTAAGAATGTCTGCAGAGTTGTTCTTTTGCGGCTCCGAGTCGCGGCGCTGTCAAAGTACTTCACTTTAAAGCCAACGAGTTGGAACGTCTGCAGCTGCTTGCGCCTCGTGCACTGGAACGGTAGCTTCCTCGCCGTGGTTACGAAATCACTCGCGAATGACCTCTCCGGTGCAGTGCATAAGTGTCAGGATGAAGCAGCGAACTCGCAACGGCAGTGGGATTGAGTAGAGAACTCACTTGTATCCTCAAGAGCTCAGTTCCCGCGGAGTCGTTATGTCCTCATTGCTCACGTGACCGTGAACAACTTGAACACTGTTTTGACCCGACCAACATCATCGAGGTTTCGGACACACTTCAAAGTTCAGACCAACTGTCCAATCCGACCCGCTACGGTCTCTTCAGTGCCGTTTCTTTACTTCGACATCCGAGTTGCCCGGTGGTCCCGCAACACAGGTTTCGGAAGTATCTTGTTCACGCGGCACACGTCGATTTGAAGGCACGCCAATTCGGAAATACAGTCAACGATGAAACGACCAAGGTCAGGGCAGTCAGCGAGCCCTAGTATAACGCTTGTGCGGTAATTATTTGCTTGGGAACCGGTGAGCTCCTGAGGACTCACAACTCGGTGTTGACGCACTAACGAAGAAACTTACTAGGCGGTTAGCCATTCAGTGAGTGGGAATGACGAACATGATTCCGAAGAGGGGATACGTGCCGCTTGACAGGCTATCTGACTCAGCTGGCTCTTCTTGTCGTCAGATCTACACCATTAAGCTTGACAGGTAGGTCTGGTTCTTTGTCTATCTATTGGATTTACTTAATGGAATCTCAGCATATGATATCATCCATGCCATTTTATAAAGCAAATGTGTTCTCCTGATCCCACTCGACGATGTCCCGACCTCTTGCTGTCGTCAACTACATCCTGGGTGCTTGGGTGAGCCGCTAGCACTAGTAATCACCGGCAAGTCGACTGCTTGTTTGTGTAGGATCTGGCCGTTAGTGGGGATCTTTTACTTCAAGGCGTTATCTTTGCCCAAACAGCACACTACTTTGCACTCTATCATTCCGAAGTGCTTGCCCTTCGGGCATTTGTCCTCGGTCTTTTGCTTTTGACCACCCTCAAGTCGATGCAAATGATGTGCGCGGTCACAGCCTTACCCTGCTTAATGTCACTGACATGGAAATGTAGTAGCATTCTGTGGATCCAGAACGTCACCCACTTCAGCGACATTCGTGGTGCGAGCATGATGTTTACAACCAGCTGGCCTCAGCAAATCAACATGGGTCTGTGTGACTTATTCACTTGATTGGTTTTCAACTATTCCTAGCATCCGGCGCATTTATCGCGTTCTACATTCAAATCTTCATGTGCCAGCGTCTTTGGGTGAGGTCTTTCCCGCTGCTTCAATCCTCTCTAATTCTCCAAGGCCCTCTCGAATAACGTCTATATCATCGTGGTTCTGATGACCATTTTCACGTTTTCATTGATCGCGGCATTCATAGCGGTACGCGCTCTGTTTGCCGCTGGTACATTGGTTGAGACTCGATGTCAGGTCAGCTTGACGTTCAATGACCAGCCAATTGTGAGATCGACATGGAGTAAGTTCTTGAGTATAGTGCTTGCTCACCTAATATCCTTCACAGTCTCACTCCACTTCGGGGTTGTGTTTGGCGGTGATCTCTTGCTATGCGGCTCAACAGCCTACTTCCTCTTAGTGAGTAGCAGTTACACGAACCGAAGCGCTCACGTGTCGAACCACGCCGGATAGAAACATGCCCAATATGTCCTCCCAAGGACCGCTGGCCTGCTCAATGCGATTCTCAAAATTACCATCCAGAGCGCGGTGCCCGGCGCGGTCTGCGCCATGGTCACCCTCATTTCTTCCCAGATCGGCGACAAATCGATTCCAGCACGCCCGTCGACATTGGTTTCTATCATTTCCTCCAGCTTGCTACCCAAACTGTATGCTCTTAGTGCGATGTGGACGTTGAACTCACGGCGCGCCATCCTACTCGCCCACTTGTCAGACCAGGACACGAGTAGTAACGATAACGATGGTCAGACTCGGAGCGGGGGAAGGAGGATCAGTGGTGGACATGGTGGTCTGGAGTTTAAGCATTTGGGAAAGGTGCAACATATCCAAGTTCGCACACAGGTTCAAACAATGCATCACGCTGACGAAGACCGCGACCTGAAATCACAGGGGAATTGTGGGCAATTCAGAGACGTGCTCGACGAAGAATAGTTTACAGGTGTGGCCGATTTATGCTTTTGCTATTTCAAGTTGATATTGGCTGAATTAACGGTGTTTTGGTCTATATTTATTCAACTCTGCATGTCGCAGCGTCTTTGGGTATTGTCTAATACCCCCATTGTGTTCAACTTCGGATCCCAGAGGCCCTCTCCAAAAACCTCTACATTCTCCTTGTGTTTGTTTGTTTGTAATACGTGTGGTGTTACCGGTCGAGGGTTTGGTCACGCTTTGATGTCTTTAATAGTTCTTTAATGTTCTGTCACAGTCACGTCGTGACTAGTCCTGTGTTTGCCACATTCGTTGCCTTGATTATTGACCGTTTCCAGTAGCGCGCAAGGCCTGCTGCGAAAGGACGGTGATAGGACCTTGGGCTAAAACTTGCGCTCAGTTTCGGGACTGCCGCCCAATAACTTGTTGCAAATCTTGTGACGGTCGATTATGCTATGACCCAAACCACCTGAACTCGTCCGCGTCTCGAGGCCAGTACTAATCAGCCATCGTCATGCTGCGAACACGACTTGGACGAAAGAAGGCGCCAATTGACCAATTATCGCCGAGCTTGCGCGCTCATGTGACGCTGTTGGGGATTCCAACAGCTCGCGTGGATCGATCTCATGGTCGGACCTCTTCCTCACCACCACGAGTCTTCAATCAAAGACGCTCGTCACATAGTCTATCCGCCATAATCAGGCAGACATAGCAACACTATAAAGGCTACCGCTTTGCAGCGGTAACTTTGATCTTGACGACGTCATGAAGGCCATCTTCGCTGGTGCCATTCCTCTCCTGCTTGCCCTTTCTACAAGCGCTAGCCCGACTAACTCAACCCTCCACAAGAGGGCACAGTGTCAGGCCTGGTTGGACCTCGCCAACGTATGCTTCACGACGGTGCTCCACTCCCCGCTAAATGTCCCTTTCATGCCCAGGGTGTGTCAACCCGCCTGAACTCCAACTATTTCAACTCCGGGACCGGGAACTACAATGGTGGAAATCACTGGACCGATGCTGTGAGTTGAACGACGAGCAGCCTCGTTTGTGCCAGTATGCTAATGTTGATCAGAACATCATTGAGAATATTCACAATCTGGTCCGTTTTGAGCTAGTTTGGTTGTACAGATGGCAGATCGCTCACTCTGGGCATTAGATGCTTGCGACTGGTGGAAATCAATGGGCAAACGTTGCAGATCAATCATATCTAGGCAGGGCGGTAGCGCAGCAGAAGGCGACCGGCGTTTCGCCTTGGGCGGGTATTGTTGAAGGGAGTTGGGACGATTCCCAGTGGATGATCATGGCATTGTGGAAAGTCGCAGATTACAAGAGAGCAAGAGGACTTGATGCTTCGGCATACTACGTGAGTTTCTGCTCTTCCGATTTCCCTTCGACTACGGACTTAACACGGCGAAACAGACTAGCGCCCAATCACTTTACAATCTTGTGCAGGGAGCCTGGGACAACACATGCGGTGGTGGACGTAAGCGCTGGTCTTTGAAATGTTTTCCCTTCGCTCATGAATATTCAGTCTGGTGGTCGGGTGCTTCAGACTACAAGAACTGTGAAGTCTATGCAATGCTATCATTGGTTATCACTTATCTGTCTCGCAGCAATCACCAACGAACTGTGGTGTACTGTCATTGTTCTTCTCCTCCATGCTTTTCGCTGAATCGAAGTAGTGCTTGTCTCAGCAACCGGGGCCATCCTTTTCCCGAATCAGTCGCAGTTCCTTACCAATGCTATCAACGTTCGTGCTCGACCCCCCTGGAGCTTCTTTGCCATCTAACTTGTACTTAGGTGCGGAATTGGAGTACGTTGCGCTCAAGTGGATGGGGAGAAAGACAGAAATAACTGATTGACATTCTTAGTTAAAAATAGTGCCCTCCGCAACTCACAGGGCCTGTTTAACGACGGGCTTGTGACCTCCACATGCGCGAACAACGGCCAAACGACATGGATCTACAATCAAGTATGATTCACTACTCCAACTCGTGCATAACCTCATATGAGAACTAGGGTGTTATCGCGGCTGGTCTCGGGACCCTCTATGCTACCACCAAAGACGCATCGTTGCTTACTGATGCGGAGATCACGTTGGATGCAGCTATCAAACTGCTCACTAGCGGTGGAATACTCAAGGAGTCGTGCGACAACCCGACCACCCGGGGATGCAACAATGACCAAATCGCCTTCAAGGGTATCTTCATGAGGTAGAATCTTGCTGTTTGGCATCGAAACGGGCCCTCACTACACTTAGGTCGTTGCAATACTACCTTGACCGCGTGAATGACCCTGCTCGTGTGGCCAAGTACAGCGGATTTATCCATGCCCAAGGTTCGATTTGAATGCTTCGTTTGAACTCGATTAATCACGCACTGCAGCATCGGGAGTCTACCACTATGGCACTTCAGGTTCCAACGATATCGGCAGTGTTTGGTGGGCCCCTAATGCTGGCGGGTCCGTTTTCGAGTCGGCCTCGTCTGGTAGTGGGTTGGCAGCCCACATCATCAACGCCAAATACGGTGCGTGAACCCCTCTTCTCAAGCGGAAGTAGGCTGAACTCGATCGACAGGTCCTTGTGGCGTCGCCTTGTAATTCGAGCTGTCTACTGGTTCGGTTTTGGCCGTAAGAACGTGAAATCATAAAGTGTGGATTATTTTGCTGTTGTCTGTACCGCTTCGTAAACGGTGTTTTTTGGACTTGTAAGAAGGGCTTTTGGGAGATGGATGTTAACAGGAAGCCAACGACGGTCGCATTGTCCAAACCAAATACCAAACTCTGGGTTCATCTAGCACACAACCACCCCTCCTCTTCGCGGCGTTGGGCATGCATTCATGGTCAGCATTGACGCCAATGCAATGGCAAGCAGTCGGTCGAGTTATTCCGCCTCATTGTATTAGCATCGCACCCGCCATTATCAAACACGCAAGCGACACGTATGGTGAGAGCCGCTCGCCTGGACGCCAAACCAGTTCAGCATTGGCGGTAGAAACAGAGAAGACGACGCACCAATGCGTGCAGACATGAAGAACAGTCCAAGGAAACCGGTTTTGTTGCGGTCGATGAGGCTTGGAAAAAGGGCCCGGACATAGGTGCACGTGCAAATCAGGAGAAGTATGACGAGGAGCAGCGACTGGAAGTTGAACAGGGCGGACTAGAGTGGGTTGTTAGCGGGCAAGCGGGGAGCGAGGCGTGGTCGTTGTACCATGGTCGGAGCAAAGAGGGACACGCACACGTGATTATGCTGACGTGATGAATTATTGATTATATATAAGTAAAGTGTAGAACATCAACTACTTTTCCTCGAGCCCGCATCTGTATCCTCAATTTCCTGCGCTTTATGGTCATGATCACGCGTGGAGAATGGTGTTGAGTGGCTGTCCGTATGCTGCGTGGTGTCCACTTGTGTGCGAACTTTGATATGATTGACTTTGCTGAAATCCCCCAGCTCGACAGCACGTGAACCGCTGGGACCACCAGTCCTCCTCCCCCCGCTCTGGCCCTCGTTGCTGCTTGTATTGTGACCCGTTGATCGCGAGCTCAGTAGTATCCTGTGCCGCGAATTCAAAGTCCACATTGCACTAAGTGCATAGAGTTTGGGCAGTAAGTTGGATGAAATTATGGTTAGCATCGTCGCTGGTGTAGCCCCACGGGATGGGCCGCCGAGTTGCGAAGTGATGAGGGTGATCATGGCACAAAGCGCACCGGGCATTGCGCTCTGGATTGTTAGTTTGAGGATTGCATTCAGCATTCCGGCAGTGTGCGGCAGCACATGTCTTGAGTGTTGCTTGTCTGGATCAGTTGGACAGAACAATACTTCAGGGAGCTGCATACCAGAAGGGCATAGGCTGTCGAAGCGCAGAGCAATAGATCCCCACCGAAAACTACCCTGAAGTAGAGCGAAACTGAGAAAAGTTTTGTTTGGGTCAGCAGATGCTAGGTATCCATGCGACAGGGACGCACCCCATGTCGATCTGACAACAGCCCGTTCGTTGAACGTCAAGCTGACCTGGATAACACAAAGCTTCAGGCAAAATCATCGGTGTTGAAGGCAACACATATACCCCCACAAATGCCGCGATCAACGAGAACGTGAACATGGTCATCATGAGCAGAACGATGTACACATTTTTAGAAAGGGTCTTGGACAGTTAGAGAAGATTGAAGCAGTGGAAAGGGTCATACCCAAAGACGCTGACACATGAAGATTTGAATGTAGAACGCGATAAAGGCGCCAAATGCTAGGGATAGGAATTCACGTAAGCATCGTTGAACCAGGGCGAAGTGACCGAGAAACGTACCTAAGTTAATCTGCTGGAGCCAATTGGTCGTGAACATCATACTCGCGGCACGGATGTCTATAAAGTTGGTGACGTTCTGGATCCACAGAATAGCGCTGCGTCTAGGAGTCAGTGCCATTGATTATAGTGTGTAGCGAAGCTTACATCATTTGCATCGACTTGAGGGTGGTAAGAAGCAAGAGACCGAGGACGAACATCTGAAGAGCAAGCAAATCCGAGTGGTACAGCGCAAAGTAGTGCGCTGTTTGGGCGAAGATGACACCTTGAAGTAAAAGATCACCACAGGCACTCAAGTCCTAAGCCAACAAGCAGTCAACTAGTGTCATTTCGCACGTTGAGCAACGCACCCAAGCGCCCAGGAGGTAAGTAACGAGGTCATGAGGTCCAGACATGGTCGAGTGGGGAGGGAAGATGGGAAGGTGCACTTGACTTGTATTTATAGCTTGGGATCATATCATATTGGCCGGAACTGGCATTCGATTATATGCAAATAGACGGAGAAAAATTCCCAGCCAAGTTAGTTTAGGGCGTTGCCAACGTAGTCCACTCGAGGGTCGCCAATCCCATTCATCCGCAAATAAGCCTCCGTCATCCTGTCAAGGCTTACTCCTGCGACTCATATGGTGACTCCGAGATGGTTGAAAATCGACACCGAGAACTCGGAAGGTAACCACAGGAATGATTGCCACAGTCGAATTCCGTTTGGGGCTAAGTGGTATAACAGGCCTGTCTCGTTGCCAACCGTTCATGGTCGAATGGAGTCGAAGCATTTGATTTTCGGTCTTGACCCCAGTGCTTTCGGACGACAGGCGCTTCCTTCGCCTTGCGACCTCCTGAGGGATGAGTGTCGACGGCCATTGGTCTTTTCGCGGCGTTGTGTGTGCTCGAAACAAGTTCAATTCTCCTTACAAAGCAAATTGATGCGGATGAGAGGGGTCCGATGTGAACTGAAGTTTAGAGATAAGATAAGGGGTTTTGATCTTACTGTCTCCGTCGATAATTGAACATTCTGTCACGGATAAGACCCGGCCCGTCCGCTCCGGCGCTGGTGTCGGGCCATTGTGGGCCCGCAACACGCAGCACGTGACGACGGGGAACATGCGCCCCAGTAGGAGGAACGCACACGTGGGAAGCACGTGACCGAGAATGACGCGTCGAGCCGTCGCCGAGCCCAACTCGACACAAGGGGACTGGGGAGGAGTGCTAGGAGGTCAGGAGTAGCGCCTGGCCCGCAAGGGATGTACGATCGTCCCCTCTGCGGCCAGGAACGGGAGCGAGGAGGAGGAGGAGAGGCCAGGGTGTCCGATCACCCCCTTTGCGGGCCCGCGTATATAAGGCGCGATAGTGTACCCTGTACTCTATCGCTTAGATCGTCTGAAGAACTACCTTACTCCGTGCGAGGAGACGCTATCGACTCATCAGGCCCGACACGACCCGATTCGAACCTTCGACCACCGACTACGGCAAGGGACCGAGTTCACGGGCCCTTTCGGTTTCGATCTACCCCGCCCGCCGTACTTGCGGGCCCGACTATCCGTCTGTTCTGTTCCGGGCCGCGCGTTCTTAGGAGAAGTCCTTGCACGGCCCGACCCGCAGTCTGACAGAATCTAAGCGATCCCCCTACACTAGTGCTGCTGGTTATATAATTTTTTTTGCCAGCTGGCGCAATAATGCATGGCAAAAAGCGGCAATAAGAGTGGGGTCTGATTCTGGGGGTGGCAAAATGATATTACCAGTTTATGTCATATGATAATATACTGCAGTCAAACAATGCAAAAAATTATTAGACTGCATTGTTCTTGGTCTAAGCACCTCAGTGGCAGACCTATATATAGTATAATTATGGAGGAGAACCTAGGCAGAGCAACCAGAGTGGTGATCACAAAAGCTAAAAAAAAATAAAGTGAGGAAAAACTCTACAGGTAAACTGTCACTGATCGTGACTGATGACTGATAGCTGGTAACATTTATGATTTTAATTAAGGAAGAGCTGGAGCATGTAGTGCCCAGTTCAAAAGGATATGTAGTGAACAACAAGGACAATTCAGACTCCGATAGTGGTAAATTTTGATGAAAAATATACATGCTATATAATCATGTACCTCAAAATCACGTGCTTTTTGCCACTTGGCAATTAGCTGGCAATATTGATTTTGCCATTTTGCCTGGCAAAATTTTCTCCAAAAACATTTTGCCATGTACACTACCCTACACCCGCAACAGAATGGACACTACCACCGTCATCGCACTCCCGGCGTGGGCTACGATAGTGGCTATCGTCATCGCCTCCCTTGCCTACCTATACGGACGCACCCTCGAAGCCCAACCCGTGGTCTTCAACCGCGTCCTCTACGGGAGAAAGGAGCCCGCTCTGAAGTGGGGCACCCCTAGGCGGGTCTCCCTGGACGAACACCATCGGCACATGGAACACGCCTGCCCGGCCCATGGTGCCGGGCCCGCCGCAAAGCGCCGACGCCTCAACAACTCACCGCCCCTCCCCGCGTACGGCCGGACCCCGATCCGAATCGTCTCGGACCGCCCCGGGCCACCGGCACACTCTGCCTGATGAAATAGGGCACACCTCCCTCCGTACGAAGGCCCTGGGGGCCATCCTTATTCCTCTCATAATCTGCTCTATTTTAACCTCTGGCGGGGCCTCCGGGCCCCTAATAATAAAATCTCCTGTTTTTACCCACCACACGATGAACGAGCACAAGACGATTGGTTGATTGCAAAAAAAAAAATACAAAAAAAACACGAACGAAAAAGAAACAAGATATAGTCCGAACCACAACGGGGAAGTCCTACGGGAGGGGGCCGACTTGACAAGGCGCGCGAACGACGACAGCAAACGAAAGGACGGGGATACCCGAACGCCGAGACCCGAGTAGACGGGGAACTCTGGCCGATGTCGCCGAAAGACGACCAACGATCCGCCTAAGCCTAATCCAGGTCCATCATCTCGAAGCTCAGGCCGTCCCGACGGCACACATCCGCATACACCTCTTGTTCAGCGGCCCGACGCTCTAAACCCTCTGGCGTTTCCCAGAATCCCGACCTCTCGCCCTCAGACCGGTGGATAGCCAGGAGAATGGCGCCCAGATAGCGGCACACGTCCGGCAACGTCCCGCGATGCTGTCAGGGACTCCAGCGAGTTCACCAACCGGAGGTCTGCGTCTAGAGAACGCATTGACGACAACTCCGCGAGGGCACGGGTCCGAGCATCCGGAAAATCCCCGTCGGCCGAATGAACCGCCGATTGTTGCAACAGCAGCACGCCCAACGGCGACAAGCGTTGATTGGCGGGCACCGACAGATCCCCATGCAACCGGCGAGACTCGGCGATAGCCCGATCCAAGTCCCACTCTCTCCCGAACCACAGGGAGACTCGAGGGAATGATAACACCTGGAAACCCATAGTGGGATAAGAAGGGGGCGGGTCTTACCCGCAGGAGCATGCGGCCGGAAACGACGCTTCTCCTGACGAGCGATCCGCGACAGGGGGGGTTGGCCGGCGGAAATTGGGGCGAGGTCTCGGCTGGGACCAACCCGGCGATGGTGGGGGAGACGGCGAGCGGGTGCGAACTCGTTTTCGCACGAGGGATGGGGAGGAGTCCCGAGAAGACCCCGGCGAAAGGACGACCGGGCGGCGACGACGGCCCGAAGAAGGCCTGACCGTCGGGGTCGGGCTCCGCCCAAACCGATCCTCGTTTGAACGGGGCAAATAGGAGAACAAGAAGGATCGGTACGGAACCGAGGCGGACAGCCCGACTAGATCGGCGAAGCGGGGATCGGGACGCAGCAGCGCAAACTCGCCATCCTCGACTTGACGCTCCCAAAATTCGAAGGAAAACTCGCGCAAATCCGCGGAACAAGCCTTGTACGCATCTGCAAAAGACCGCCAACGCAGACAGGCACGATGGAGCGGGCTGCACGCATCACAAGCCCGACGCACGGGACCAGGGAGTTTCTGGGGAGAACTATCTGGGACGCCCCACACGGTGCATAAACAATCATGAGCGATGCAATACTTGCAGCGAGGGGAAAGGGATCGGATCACTGTTCCCGGTCGACGAGGGGGGCTCTCCTCGGAAAAGCGCCAACTGTCCAGTGGATTCTAGACGAGGGGCCAAGGGGGTGCCGAAATCCCGGTGCAACGGGGTGGGCGACGAGGCCGGGGAGAAAGGAGGATCAAGTTCATCCTCTGCTGACTCGTGTTCCGAAGGGTCGATCCCTAGCAAGGACAAACAACGGGGGCCGGCGATCACTTCCACATCAGAATCCGACTCCGGATCAGAGGGGAAGAACAGTAAGGTCGAAACAGGCGGGGCACCGTCATGCTCTACGTCGATCTCCATCGAAGGGGAGGACCGCGCCCGAGCCACGGGCGCAGGGAAAACGCGCTTCACCATTGAGGCCGCTGCCTCGGGATCTTCCGGACCGCTCTCAGGGCTTGGGAATCGGTCGTCCAACCAAGTCGCCAACGGGAGGAAGCTAAAGGAAACGCCCGCTTCTGCCTCATCCAACGAAGGGCCACCCGAGAACACGAACTCGTCTCGAGGATCTTGCAAGGAGACGACCCGGACGAAGGAGGACCACCGGTCGGCGTGGAGAAACGGCGGGACGAGGGACGGAGAGAGAGGGCCCAGCAGTCGGGCCAGCGTATCGGGATGAGCCATGTTCTCTTGGGGAAATACACGGAAGGCGGCCACGTGGGCTAGGATAAGGAATCGATCCGATACGAAGGAGGGAAGGCCGGCCGAGGAGGCGCAAGACAATGCATGCAGGATAAGGCGCTGGACGAAGACCGTAAGCGCACGGCTGGAAGCGAGCAAGGAAGGAAACATACCACCCAATGCCACAAGCGGGGAAAGAACGAATCACTGGGGGAAGAAGTGTCGGCAGAGAGGAGATGGGCAAGGAGGCCACGGCCCAGTTGTCCGAACAAGGGGCGGATATCCTGAAGGGAGCCGTCCTCGCGACGCCAGATAAAGGAGGAGGGAAACGCATCGAACAAAACGCCAAAGTAAAGGTGGTGGGGCCCGAAGACAACGGGCTGCCACAGACCGGCTTTCATCAGGCGGTCGAACTCGCCTTGCCACAAGATTCGACGGGAAGACGACGGCAACAGGGGCGCTGCAGGGGGGACTGGGAGAGCGGGAGCTCGATGCGAACGGACTACGGGGGCCAACCGAGGGAGCAGCTTGGAGGAATACTCGGCAACTTGAGACAGAGGCAAGTCCTCCAACGGGCGGAGGCGCTCGAACGACTCCCGGTACGACGGGTCTCGCCCTTGCGCGATGGGCCAGGAGGCAGGAAACTCGACGAGAGACATAGAGGCGAAACGAACGAACAGACGACCAGGCTCCGACGACGGGGGAACCATCTGAGG